ACCTCGCTGGCTCCAACACTCGCCGATCTTTGAATCCATCACATTAAAATGCACTCGTGGGCATCTGTGACGGTTCCACAGAAGTGTGGTGGGTTTGTATCTGCATGTGCGTGCATGTCCAGGACACGCACACGCTTCATTCTCTGCAAATATTTTATGTACAAATTTCTTTGTGACAAATAACTGAGAGACATTATTCAGTGAAGGAAGCAGCAAGGTTTCAAAAATAAGAGTGAGAGGCCTGAACGCTGATCACGAAAGGAGCTCTTCTCACTGAAAAAGCTAAAACGAGTTAAACTAAACTAAACTGACGTCCTGTGGACACGACGCTGAAGCTACCACAGAGGACACAACCTCATAACCTCAACATCCAGAGTCCTGAGTGTCATTCTCTCTTCCTGTTTCAGAGACGGGCCAGTTGGTGAGTCCCAGAGATCCAGTGAATTCCACTGCACCACACCAACGTACATATCACACTCAGACAAACACACAAACACAGGTCACACACCTGTGGCTCCATGGAGCGGTGCATGGGCGGAGTCCGGGCCTGCTGGATGCCCCCACTGCTGAAGGACTCGGAGCGCGGCGGCAGGGTCGGGTCTGAGATCCGGTTGGAGACTTTATGCTGCAATGCAGGAGAAGAGGTTCAGCTTGTAACGTTCCCACACACACACACACACACTCTAAGATGTGTCTGTTCACATGTTTGGTTTTAAAGCTGATTCGACTGATTTCTTCTTCCAGGAGTTTACAGACGTTTTCCTGTCGCTCGTTACCAAGTCCGAGACATTTTGTTCCAGTTTTGTTCCTCAGGTAGACACGAATAATTGTTTTGGGAGGTTAAACTGTGATTCTGCTGAAATCAGAGGAAACAGCTCGTTCTGTGCAGAGCTACATGGATTCGTTTAAAAATGAATCTATTGACTGCTTTTAATGCTCGAGAGACGCAGAAAATGAAGCTGGCTGCACCACAATTTAAAACTATAACACAATCTCTGTGTAGGAGCTCTATAGATAAAGCAACAGCAGAACCAGCCATGCACATCAGACACATGATAGTGTTATTAACCTGCTAAAGAAGCAGAGTTATTGTTCACAGCTCAGTATTGTTTATTATTTGTGTGCATTCCTGCAAACAAACATTTAGATGAACTTCGGTGATACGTGTTACACACTTGTTCATATTTACATAGATTCACGTTGTTCTGCTCCCAACAGGAAGACGTTTTAGTTCACGTCAAACTGTAAATGAAAACTGGAAGTATCGTTATTAATGAAGCGTTTGATAGATACGAAGTAAAAACAGGCGTCGTTAAAAGATAACAGCTGTTCTTGTGTTTCACATGTGGCTAAACCAACATCTGGAGGTCTGATCTCCAGCCAGCGGTGGTGTCGTTAAGTCTCCCACTGACTCGATTTATTTGAGCTTCTGGGAAAAAACTCCTGTTGAAATGTTTTAAAAATTAAATTATTACTTGGAGCTGAAAGTGTGCAGATGGAAAATTGACTCTTTGTATTTGGATTTTTGAAACAAACACATTGATTCATGTAGAAAATCAGTGTGTTGGCCTTTACTGGACTTATTACATTTATTATATACTTAACTATTAACAATAAGAAACACTGATTCGGACATTATTACACATTAATTATGTTTACTTTTACTTTCTTTGCTATATTTACATAATCAGATACAAATCCTGTATGAATTTGACCTGAAATGTGTTTTTTACAGTGCAGTGAAGTGAAGTCTGTCTCAGACCTTTTCTCCCTCATTAGTTAAATAAAGAGCTCACGTCTGATATCTGATTTCAGCTTGTAAATCTACAGAAGAAGAAGAAGTTATTTGTCTTCAGGTCAGATAAAAGAAGTTGTTTTCTGTGTGAATTCAGCTGCTTCTCGTTAAAAACACTGTAAGTCTGCTCTTCGTTCCTCTACTGTCAGCTTAACAAACTATCACGTCTGATGGTTTTGAGCTGGCTGCACACGTCACCTGACGAGGTGTACCTCCACAGGGTCGGTTCTCTCTAAACGGCGGTTTTTAGAGAGGAACATTGTGAGGGAAACATTTGCTCTTCTGGAGCTCGAAGGGAAATCCTGGGAGGCCGAGATGAGGGTAGACCTATCTGCACACAGTGTGCTTTCCATGTTCAGCGTCCGCAGGGAGAAACACCGATATAGCTGCAGCTGTCCTACATCTGTCCACCAGCTGCCACCAGGGGGCAGACCT